TGTTTGCCCTCTCCACTGGATCTTTAATCTGTTTGCATGGAGTAATTACGATCGTATTGTATTGGAATCCACATTCACAGCAGATGCTGTAAGTAGTGTTTGCCCTCTCCACTGGATCTTTAATCTGTTTGCATGGAGTAATTACGATCGCAATGTGTTGGAATCCACATTCACAGCAGATGCTGTAAGTAGTGTTTGCCCTCTCCACTGGATCTTTAATCTGTTTGCATGGAGTAATTATGATCGTATTGTATTGGAATCCACATTTACAGCAGATGCTGTAAGTAGTGTTTGCCCTCTCCACTGGATCTTTAATCTGTTTGTATGGAGTAATTATGATCGTATTGTATCAGAATCCACATTCACAGCAGATGCTGTAAGTAGTGTTTGCCCTCTCCACTGGATCTTTAATCTGTTTGCATGGAGTAATTATGATCATATTGTATCGGAAACCACATTCACAGCAGATGCTGTAAGTAGTGTTTGCCCTCTCCACTGGATCTTTAATCTGTTTGCATGGAGTAATTACGATCGTATTGTATCAGAAACCACATCACAGCAGATGTTGTAAGTAGTGTTTGCCCTCTCCGTTGGGTCTCTAAGTGCATGGAGTAATTGTAATAATATTGTAGTGGAATCCACAATCATAAGGGATATTGTTGTTTTTTCTATCCATCAAGTTCTTAGGTAGTTTGGTGCATACTAATTGTAATCATATTGTGTTGTGGCTTCGATATTCTGTTCTGAATTTATGTTCTTTACAAGAATTCATGAACAACTACCTGAACAGACAAAATATCTCAATGGAAATATAAAAGATAACAAACTTGTACTTCCTGAAGTGATTTTTACACTCCTCATATACGATTGGAGTTTAAAGAAACAGGTAAATACCGTGACCGTAACTAAAATCGTGCCAACAATGTAAAGATTGGCATAAGAACTTCCCAGCTTCAAGATGTGCAATACAGAAGAAGCTACAAAGAAAACCACATCTCGACAACTTTCCTCAACAATGGATACCAGGAACACTTGATAAACAATAAAATGAACACCAAGAACAGAGAGGAAGAAAATTACAACCATATTCCTCAATGTCTGATCTATCTACAATACCTCACCATGCCAGAAAAGATGATTATACAATAAATTAGTACAATACTAAAATAATAGGATAAGAATGACACACACAAAAAAAAAGATAAAAGAATCCATCTACATCCACCCCAGGAACAAATTCATGCCATTACCAACACACAAACAGTCTTTCTCAGGACTACCCTGAAGACAACAGTAGTTTAGCAGCTGAAATGTAAGATAAAATCTAGTTAGTAATCAACAGTTATAGTTGGGATGTTGTATAGACTACTAACCATGACTACAATTGATACCTGACCACCAAAACTTCACTGTGAGTATTTTAATATGTATCTATACACATGTGTTCTTAATTACTTTAGCTTTCTAAGTAAATTATCACCGTTTTACTGATCATTTCAAAATTGGAAATCACCAATTCCAATTGATGTAGTGCCCAATTCCGATTATGTACAGTAAAGTTGATGATGTCATTGTGTATTATTGTTGACAGTTTAACGTTAAAATTGTAACGAGTACACAGAACGTACTTTGAAGCTTCATTAAATTTGAAATGGTTAAAGTTATCAATAAATGTGCCATGCAAAAAAACAACAAAACAAAATCACTATATCTTTCCGTTTTTTATTTCAAAGAATGAAAAATACAAATGGGGACTGACCTTGTGGCTAGTACATGATGGATACATAACTTTATGTGACAGTTGTGAGAGACAAACAACTTGTTGAGGTTTATTGCCTAAATTCATCATTCACTTCAGCCATAACTTTGATGACTTTTGTTATCACTCTACACATTTTGAAATAAACCACTTTCTAAAACAAACGAAGTATTCCAACCAAAGGTCAAATAAAGTGACAGTGTTTGAATGTTTCCAGCATGATTCTAAGGCTCCCATGTAATGTAAGTTACACGCACACGGTTTATGTTGAGGAGCGTCAGTGTATGTATCGTAATGCACAAACTTAGTGTACACGTGATGCAAATTTTGGTCATTCAAAATGCTCTGTTGTGCTGAAAATGAAGCCACACCCAAAAATAAATCTATCCAAAGATTGTAGATCGTTCCACTTTTGGAAGGTACAATAATAATAAAAGTTAAGTGTTTTTCTCTTGGTGTGAACTTGAGAAATGACCAGACAGACATTGTAAAAAACAGCAAGAAAAAAATGCTTACTCCTAATAACTGGTAAACTGAGCATAAAACTTTTGGTGAAGAAATCCACAGTGCGGTATTAACGGGGAGCCACATGGCGTATCATCCCGAGATCTTCACGAGTAAAGTCCATGTAGATCTCCAGCAAGCACACAGTGTGTATTGGCTCTCTGCATAGGGTGTTGTTATCGACCCTTTGCTAATGTACAATCCGTAAAGAAATGGGTGTGTATCAACTTATGTAAATAAATGAGAAACAGACAGAGATTGTTTAACTGATGATATTATATTCTATTGTGAATAATGTTTCATGTTTTTGTGTCGAAAAAAAAAAGGAAAACATAAAAGGTCGTGATTGTAAGCATACTTAAAAATCAGAAGACTGTTACTCTGAATAAAGTGGTTTGGTTGGTGATATTTTTAATTTTTTGGCAATCAGTTTTCTGTGATCGGGAAATTTGACAAATTCTACCAATTCCAATTGTCGCCCAATTATCAATAATCGGCCCAATTCCGATTGCTCAACCGATTATTGGTAAAACAGTATAAGTTATCTCGTAATGTGTATTAGAATATATTCATAACATAACTTAGAGGGTGAGTAATAATTCAAAACAAAGAAGATGACTTATTTAATATTACTTCAATAAATCATCTCAAGAAGAAGATTTTAGTATAACAGAATTATTCTTAGTGCCAACCTTGACTGATCCTCATTGTGTATTCTCTTTAGCTCTCGGATGTGAAGATTACGTTCTCGCTCCAGTTTCTCCAGCTCTATCTGTAGGTCCATATCTTCTTTCTTTAGTGCTGCCTGTCTTAGCTTTAAGATTTCTTCTTGTTCATAATATTCATACCAGCTAAGTCTAAAATGAAGAGATTTAGTAAATAAACAAGGTTATTACTAACTGTATTATAAAGAACACTATTCTCCCTAGACAATTCTAGAAGATTTGATAATACCAGTTCGGCAGAATTTATCGATAAAAAGCAGGCGATCAAGTGACTAAATATGTTCTTTGTACAAAAAAGATTTGTTGTTTTGTTTTAAATTGAGATTAAAGACATTCAGAAAAGATGTATAGATAAATTCTTAATCTTATACTACTGGTTTTATACAACACTACTCAGTGTGCCGATGAACTTCTGTACAAAAAGATTTGTTGTTTTGTTTTAAATTGAGATTAAAAACATTCAGAAAAGATGTATAAATAAATTCTTAATCTTATACTACTGGTTTCATACAACACTACTCAGTGTGCCGATGAACTTCTGTTTCAAAATTTAATTTAGAACTATAATTCTAATCACCTTGTGCCACAAAATAGTGTAAAAATGATATTACCATATAACAGTTATAAATCTAATTTTATAAATAAAAATTTCTAAATGTCTAAACTTTAGTTTTTGTAGGATCTTTAGATGTTTAAAATGTATAGTACGCATTTTTTCTTTCTCTGATCTTTTAACGGCCTCTAGGACCTTCTTTTCTACATAGAATAACAAATAAAAGGTAGATTTGAGTTTCTAGATGAGCTATGAACCTATTGGTTGAATTCACCTCCCAACAAGGTCTCAACAAATCAATGTGTATCTCGACTTTGAATATAGGTATGCTCTCCAGCAATAAACGGCCATAAAGGAGAGAAACAATGCTGCAAACCTTTGTAAGCAGCTTGCCAATCACTCCTTGTGGCTTATTCTTGAAGAAATAGTTTCGCAAAGCTATACTTGAAGATCGAATATGATACATTTAGAAATAATTCCCAACTAATCAGACCTGTTTTCCTTATTCTACTGCTGAAACTATATCACATACATTTGAAAACTGTAGAAATGTTTTTATATAGGAAGGCAGGAAATAAGGATATTTAGGGTTGGTGAATAAAGTAGTTTAATAATAAATACACTTCATAATGGCACATTATTACAAACCAATATTGATCATGCACTATAAATTTATTTATAACCTTTGATTTTTCCTGTATGAGAGGGCTAATTATTTTTAAAGTCTTACATTTTTCAAAGTTTCTTTTCTTGGTAAAGCAAATATCTGGTAATAGTGTGTTTTTCAAATGTTCTGTTAATTGAAATTTAGTAAAATAATTTTATATCCCGACACTTCATATTAAAATTCTCAAAATACTTCTTACAAGTATATAACTTACTCTTTTGGTGGTTCTGGTTTAAGAAAATCACCATTGGTCAGACTTGTAGCATTACCATTGGCACTTTTACCTTTCTGCTGGGCTGTGCTTGGTTTTTTCTTCACCAGAAGTTTCCGTTGACGTTCTATTTCTTCTCTTTCTGTAGCAATTTGTTCTTGCTTTCTGAGTACAGAGACATATAAGTAAACCAATCATGTGTTTTGATGAGTACAGAGACATACAAGTAAACCAATTATGTGTTTTGATGAGTACAGAGACATATAAGTAAACCAATCACGTTGTCTCTGTACTCATCAAAACAAAACACATAATTGGTTTACTTATAGATGAGTACAGAGATATTTAAGTAAACCAATTATGTGTTTGATGAGTAAAGAGACATTTAATTAAACCAATTATGTGTTTGATGAGTAAAGAGACATTTAATTAAACCAATTATGTGTTTTGATGAGTACAGAGACATTTAAGTAAACCAATTATGTGTTTTGATGAGTACAGAGACATTTAAGTAAACCAGTTATGTGTTTGATGAGTAAAGACATTAGTAAACCAGTTATGTGTTTTGATGAGTACAGAGACATATAAGTAAACAAATCATGTGTTTTGATGAGTAAAGAGACATATAAGTAAACCAATTACGTGTTTTGATGATTAAAAGCTTTAAAAATAATTTATGTACAAGTTAACTTTTATCAACCATTTGACATTTCCTGTTAAACACAGTTTTCATGACAAAAAAATATTTTTGTAGATGAAACAGATTGTGTGTCATTAGCTTCATGAGAATAATAATGAATTTATTATAAATTGTCCTATACCAGTTATCAGTACATATATAAGTAGTATACAAAATGTTTACTTTATTAATTCGGTAAAGGCATGCCCGTCTACCCAGTTTTCTACAAAAGACGCTCCCTGTCGTTGAGTTACAAACTGACCAAGCCTTAGCCTGTTCTGCATGCATCTTTGTCTGGACTGTTTTTTCTCCATCGTAGACTGTAACAGATTAGAAAAAACAACTGATGTTTTTTTAATTTAAAAGACATGACTTGATTTTTATCTTTCTTTTTTAATAAATACAACAAAGAAAAGTTATTTTTGTTAAGTGTCAATCAGCTTACAATGTTTAACTAAAAACAAACAAACTCAAAAACCACATGCATTATTTAGACAAAATAATTTAGAGAAAGAAAGTCAGAACACTTCGAAACCTAGTTAATATCAACAAAATTTTTGAATCTCTAAATAAATAGTCATGTTTTAGTACAAATACTCAACTCAATTACGCTTATTTGGTTTAAAAAAAAAGGATTAGATGGGCCTAAAGTAAACAGTATAACTATGTAATACTGTACAACAATGTACAAATGCCAACGAGAGGGCATTATATATAACAATGAAGATAAGACAAGTTTAATACAACAATGTAGAAATGCCAACGATAGGGCTAAGTTAATGAGAGGGCATTATATATAACAATGAAGATAAGACAAGTTAATTCTGGAACACATACAAATAGATTCATAAAATATGGTAAAAGTGATAAGTACTATAAAAGTTTCAAATGGTATAAATTTATTGAAACCCTTCATAACAGAAAACAGGCAATCTAATATTGACCAATGGGGGGTGCCATTACTTGAAAATGACAGAAAGGTACACTCTTTAACAATGCATTCACTTGGCCAACTTACATACATTTTGAATATTCAAAAGAAAATATCGACAAGTCATAAAGATTCTTTTTTCATAATTAGTAGGATGCCTCACAGGTAAAAAATGTTTAAAAATTCTCTCAGTCATGATTTAGATGAACATACACACACATATTTTGTTAATTTACATAATTATAATTTTAAATGATGAAAAAAAACACATTTGACCAGAGGGTTATCACCATATTAATACAAATAAATGTGACATTCATAAGATTGTTCATAGAAACTGATAAAGCAGTAATAATTGACTTAATAAAGATAATATTATATTATTAAAAGGACTTTTTTGAGAATATATGTTCAGGTTAGCAACCTGAGAAAATGTGATTTTGAACACTAGAGATGCCTCATATTTTCAAAAAAATTAAAAGCTTAGAATCTATAAAACAATATAGGCTATATCTTACAGAGACTTATTAGATTTACCTATAGAGCTAGAAGTAGTCTAAAACTTTTATTACAAACTATCAATATAACACAATACAAAAACAAATTCTAATGTTTTAGTTATTTCTTAAGCTCTGTTGTAATTCTGTTATGTTCTATTGTAATTTGCTTCTGCAAAGAATGGTGAGGTGAAAACTAAACCACATCTTTATCTCACAGTGATTTTTTGGGGTTAGAGGGTTCCCTTTCATAACCATTTAGTAATTTTATTATATGAATGTCCATTCTCAGAAAAAGCTGTGATATAAAATATTTCACTCTTTCTAAAAATATCTTACTCAAATTCTTAAAAATCCTAAGGCATAACTAAAATACTTTAATATTGTATTCTGGTAATTTCATTTAGAAACAAAAAACCAGAATATAGTACTACAGGGCATGGACAATATACAGATTAATAAATAGACTAGGAATAAGGCAGATGTAATAACCTGTTAAAAATTAAATTCTTAGTTGTTACTCATCACTTTTAAAGTAAAAATCTTGTAGAACATAATAGCAAAAAAAACAGCTTTAACTCATTAACTTCTGGCTGACTTTGTTGGTTTTCATTACTGTTTACGCCATTAACTTATGACTTCTCAAAGCTGAAATATAAGGAATTACAACACAACATGGCAACTGTGGTGGAAGTGTAGACCTTCGTAACATCAGTACAAGTGTAGTTTTATCGACTGTAACCAGTTATTGTTTGACAAAACCACACCAGTGTAGACCTCGTAACATCAGTACAAGTGTAGTTTTATCGACTGTAACCAGTTATTGTTTGACAAAACCACACCAGTGTAGACCTCGTAACATCAGTACAAGTGTAGTTTTATCGACTGTAACCAGTTATTGTTTGGGTGTGGTTTTGTTGAAAAATATTTTCATTTTCCTCATAGGGGGTTATGAAAAGAAATCAGGAAATTCACAAACATTAATGTTTTTTTATTCGGAGAAACTGGCCAAAATTAAAATTTGGAATCTTAAAAAAACATAAATAAAGCATTTTTTATTTGGTAAGTTTCAATACTGAAATATTTTACAATATTATAAGAGAATGATAAGTTTATTTTCTATTATTTGTTCATTCAATCGAGCAAGTTTGTCTTTGGGGCAAAATACACCCGAGTGGGGTACATAGAATTAAACAGGAGATGTGAATCACGTAGCTAATTACTAATGATGAGGAGGTCATTTTCCAGTTGCTACTGAAGGATAATATTTATGACATATCATCTAGAAGATGATATATACCACAATATAGAAGTTTAAATTTTGTATCTTGTTCCATTCATAGAGTTGTAAGGTAGAATAAACTTTTAATAAAATCCTTGTTTCGCCAAATGTTATTCTCTGTAGCTGTTAACTTAACAGAGTTCAAGCACAGTTTTGATACATCGAAGTACATCCTATTTTGTGTAATAATAAACTATAAGGACACTGACAACAAACGTGATGTTTTGGCTAAAGGCTGAAACCAATTACAATTAACTCCTGTAATGTGAAAACTTAATATTGTTATAGATTTAGCAATAAAGTTACATTTTTCAGGATAACTTCGAAAACAACAAAATCAAAAACAGCCAAAGTCTGTAAGATAATTGTAAGTGTTTTTCTAACAATTTTCAATGAAAGTACCAGATTTACATAAAAAAATTTATAAAATCCACATTTATTCGGTCAAATTTTTACATAGTAGCAAAAAACTTTCTCTAATTTCTAAGAATAAAAAATTAACCTAGTTATATATCAAAGTATGGTAATGAGCAGGTGGTCTAACAATTATTAGGCTGTAGAATTAAACTGTACCATAAATATTTTTCATAATCTATACTCTACACAAAATATTTAGAAGCAGTCCTACAAAAACATTGTGTTGGACTTTAAAGAGTGAAAATAGCATTACTGAATTAAATTAAAAAATAAACTTACCTTTTCTATTAAAAGTTGTTTTGTAACATCTGTACACTTTATTATTTGCTCCTTTTGTTTTTCTATTAGTTTCTGTTGAGCTTGTAATTGTCTTTTTATTTCTTCACTTGCCTGTCACAGTCAAGATTTTGTTAGACACAAACAAGAAAGTAATCACTATCACAGGATTATTGCCACAAACCCTAAACTTCAGTTCTTAAAAGAGATAACTATGACAACTAATATTAAACAGGCAATAATACATAAAAACTCTACATTCTTGGATGATAAAATCAAACAATTTCTTGTTACAAAGTTTCTACTTATTAGCAATAAAGATACTTCACTTGGAAGACAAGAACATCAAACTTGGACAAGTCTATCCAATATACACTAGAGATATTCAACATGCTTTAAAAACAAATAAGTGTTTTAAAACTACTCTTACCAGAGAAAGATGATGGTGTGATAATCATGGACATTAAGGAGAGTAGTAAGTTTATATTAATGAAATGTCAACGAGAGATCTTCTGTTGTGTTTAGTTCCTACACATTTCATTCAAGACTCATACTTATATCATCTGTAATTATTTTATGGCACAGTGACCCAATTCCCAACTCTCTATTTCCATAATGTCATCCATAATTATTTTTTTGGCCCAGTGACCCAATTCCCAACTCTCTATTTCCATAATGTCATCTATAATTATTTTTTTGGCCCAGTGACCCAATTCCCAACTCTCTATTTCCATAATGTCATCTGTAATTATTTTTTGGCACAGTGACCCAATTCCCAACTCTCTATTTCTATAATGTCATCTATAATTATTTTATGGCACAGTGACCCAATTCCCAACTCTCTATTTCCATAATGTCATCTGTAATTATTCATCAGCTTTGCTCTTTTTGGCTCATTTACCAGTTTATTGTTGATGAAGAGAAGCTTATTCTTAAAGTTGTCCCGTCTTTTGTTTTTTTTACTTCTCTACTTTTGGCATCTTACATTTTTCTAGTGTCATTAAAAGAAAATCATTAAATATGCTTAGTTCATTCAAATTCTAAATAACAATAAAAATATTTAACAGTATAAGTTGTAGTGTTCTTTTGTAACATCACAAATGAAAATTAACAATGTCACATTATGACATCACGTATTAAAATTAACAATGTGACATTATGACATCACGTATTAAAATTAACAATGTGACATTATGACATCACATGAAAATTAACAATGTGACATTATGACATCACATGAAAATTAACAATGTGACATTATGACATTCCACTTGAAAATTAACAATGTCACATTATGACATTACACTTGAAAATTAACAATGTCACATTATGACATCCCACTTGAAAATTAACAATGTCACATTATGACATTACACTTGAAAATTAACAATGTCACATTATGACATCCCACTTGAAAATTAACAATGTCACATTATGACATCCCACTTGAAAATTAACAATGTCACATTATGACATCCCAATTGAAAATTAACAATGTCACATTATGACATTACACTTGAAAATTAACAATGTCAGATTATGACATTACACTTGAAAATTAACAATGTCACATTATGACATCCTACTTGAAAATTAACAATGTCACATCATGACATCACACTTGAAAATTAACAATGTCACATTATGACATCCCACTTGAAAATTAACAATGTCACATTATGACATCCCACTTGAAAATTAACAATGTCACATTATGACATTACACTTGAAAATTAACAATGTCACATCATGACATTACACTTGAAAATTAACAATGTCACATCATGCAGTTCCATTTTTACAGAAAAAGAATCATACCTTCTAAAGTAATTTATAACAAAATTAAATAACAACATACCCTCTTTAATTCATCTATTTTGTTATCTCTCATTTCTAGATCCATTGCCGACTTGCTTTCAAGTTCCTTGAACTTATTTATAGTGAGATCTGTCTGAATGGCTCTATGACAGACTTGGACTGCTCGCTGTGCTGGAACAATCATACTTGAAAAATCTAAACTGTTTGCTAGAGAAGGTGAGCTCAGTTGGTTGCCCTGGAGACACGAGAGTTCACACAGTTAGTATATAACTTTTCCAATTTTATTTTGGAACTTCTGCAAAGCAACACACTTTTTTACTGCACGCTCGTTAAATATTGATCAAAATATAAATCACTAAGAGATTTGAATACAGACAAATGGGTATTGAAAGGTTGAACAATTCAATCAAGTAAAAACACTCACGTGCAAAGTTTGAACAAAAATTTCCACAAAAGATTTTTTGCAAACTTTATCACACAAATCTAAATTCCACAATGTGATATTGGCTCAAGAGTAATTTTCAGCCAACTATGCACTATTGACAAATAGATTTTAAAAGAGGTACTCAGTACTATAGTAAATATTAAAGTCAGTAATACAGTACAATTTTGAAAACACTAAACTTTAAAATTCAGGGGAGGTGGAAGTAGCATGTATAGGTGTGTTTATGCATTCATCTTGCAAGTAGTGACATAGAATTTTTCGGAAATTAACTCCTTGCTTCACTAGATATTTAACCCATTTACTGCGACTCCTCCAAGTACGAGCGGAATTTCTGCAAGACATACATCTTATATGGCACACTTGCACCCAACTGCCGGAGGTGGACCATGCCCTATACGGCAAAGCGGCAGCAAATGGGTTAAACTTTATAAGTAAAGTCTGTGTGGAATTAATTCACAAACTCTGGAGTAAAGACAAGCAGGACTGTAAAAAAAGTAAATTATAAACATACAACATCTCACAATAAAATTAGTAATGAAACAATGACCTTCTTCTGCAAAACCTAAATTTATTATTTGCAACACAAAATCAAACAGTACTTTTTTTGTTTCAGATTTTTTCACAAAGCTACACAAAAAGCTATTTGTATACAGCCATCCCTAATTTTGAACTAACAGACTAGATGAGAAGCAGCTTGTCAATAGTATCCACTGTCAACATTTGGACTATTCTGATCTGGCAAAAGAGCAGAATTTGACTGTCATTTCTACAGTACACCCATATTCTATACACGTTATTCACTAGTTCATGCCCAGCCAAACAGTTTCTTTAATTTACCCAATTTCTTGCTCTACACCAGTGGTTTTCAAACTTTTTTGTCCTCAGACCACTTTGGCAGGAAAAAAAAGGCCCCGTGGACAATCTACCAGTCTTACCCCATCTGTTCTGTTCTCTCATACGTACTCAGCTATGACAATGCGTGTAAGTGACTTCCATTTTGGACCACACTTTGAGAACCATTACTCTACATCAGTCTGTACTTTCTTAAGGGAATTAAATCTAAAGGGATCTTTAATACAATGAAACTTTCCAATTCATCATTAAATCTAAAGGGATCTTTAATACAATGAAACTTTCCAATTCATCACTAAATCTAAAGGGATCTTTAATGCAATGAAACATTCCAATTCATCACTAAATTTTATCAAAGTTATTTTACACATCAAAAAAAGCATTTGGAAATATGAAAAGCTGCCATTAGTTAGGCCTACCTACCATAAAAATGCCTTGAGATGTTGGAGACTTAGAACCACCATACCGACTAGGACTAAGGCCTTGATGCTAGAGAAAAAACATATCATTATATTGTGACAGAAAACAAATTATGTAACTCAAATGCTTTGATGTATGTTAACAATGTTCTACGTATACAAATAAGTAGTTATCTGTGAATCTCATACAAATAAAAACCAAACAAACAGATTAATACAATGTCACATTATCTTTTTATGTGTTATAAAACAAAATAATCAAAGAAGTTTAAATATTTATAACACAATTAACTCTACTACGTTTTTTCCCGAGTACTTTTGTTAACATTTTTGTGTTACGTTTTCGAAGCATAATTTAACTACCAAAATCAAATAAGAGACACAGAATATTAAGATGTTTTATATATATTTTAATACATTAGTTTGGCTAGCTGTAAAATGATTCTTCTCAGATTGCTTTCAAGTTACCCATTCCTCTTCAATTTGCACGACAAGAATAAAATAAATAATTCCAAACATCATACCTTAAAGTAATCATTTATTTTCTTCCCCGTCTCACTCCGGCTACTTTTTCCTCCTGTAATACCAATCAAAAACTTAATTATAGTATATAAAATCAGTCTTAGTTCAGCTGATGCTAAAAGATTGAAGCAATAACTATAATACATTTAAGAGTGACCCAAACATGACCGGCATGAATAAAATTATCATCGACACAAAATTGGTAGCACAAAACTTGGGTGTGTTAAACTGTTGATCGAATAATAAACACAATAACTTACTAGCTACATAGAAAAGAATAAATAATGAACATCACAAACTGAGTATCCAGTTTGTATAAATAACACAGTTCAACTCTCACACAGCTTACAAATTATCATGAACTCAAGGAAGAGAAACTTTCTTCAGTATTCTTTCAATTACAATGGATAATGTAATTATATTTCTATTTGCTACTTAAATTAAATACTTTAGTTTGTCACAATTAACTTATCAATACTTGAGACGTAAACTTCTTAATCAGTGTACAGTTTAATCCTATGTACGTGGATGGGGGTCAAAGTGCACATGTCATGGTTTTTACAGATTTAGTTCTTCAAATTAATATATCAGTGTGAATATTTGAGATGTTTGTTTGTTTGTAATTATGCACAAAGCTACACAATGGGCTATCAGTGCTCTGCCCACCACGGGTATCGAAACCCGGTTTCTAGCGTTGTAAGTCCGCAGACATACCGCTGTGCTACTGGGGGCATTTGAGATGTAAACTTTTTAATTAGTGTACAGTTTAACCCTATGTACGTGGTTGGGGGTCAAAGTGCACATTCATGGTTTTTACAAAGTTACATTCAAAATTTAATTATACTACTTTTATCATTAAAATATATCAATAAATTTGACATCAAAACCTATTTAATGAATCAAGTGTTGATATTTCATAAGATTTAGTTTCTAAAGGAAACACTGAAATAAATTCTAAAGTAAAATTTTTAATTTACAGATTCCCATATAAGGCTATCTCATTTTGACAACGACATTTGAGTTATTCGGCCCGCAGATTCATTGTTGCTATTACAGCGTTCACATAGAACAGGTCATTAAGTATTTTAACAGACTTATGGGTAAGTTTGAAAGCCAGATAAATTATAAGTTATAGAATTTTGTATGCTTTGCACATTTTATTATTTTGTGTTCTTGACTGTATATTTGAAATAAATGAAAATTATTTTATGTACTACTATTATTGCTTAAAACAAATGAGGGCTATGTTTCTTTAGGGCGATAAGCAAACAAAAAGAAGAGGCCTGATGTAAGTGATAAATTTATTGTTTTTTATTCATATTTTTTATATACTATTGTTGAAGTAATTCACTGTAAAAATTAGAAACTTATTGGATTAGATAGCACAATGTAACTGAAAATTTGATGACAAGGAACCCACTTTGAGACTAATAATGCTTGAAGACGGCTTGAATGGATAATGAAGAAAAATGTTAATGTAAGTTTAACATAACAGCAAATGTACAATGTTTCGACAAGGTTTTGTCATCATCAGGTACCTTGACTTGAGCTAGGCACTCACCTAGTAACTTAACTTTTGACTGACTGACAATGTGTATCATCAGACAGTTTTAGTGTATTACTTGACATAGGTTAAATCATAAATCAGACTTCACTATTGACTGACTGACAATGTGTATTATCAGACAGTTTTAGTGTATTACTTGAAATGGGTTAACTCATAAATCAGACTGCACTATTGACTGATTGACAAGCTGTATCATCAGACAGTTTTAGTGTATTACTTGACATAGGTTAAATCATAAATCAGACTTCACTATTGACAAGCTGTATCATCAGACAGTTTTAGTGTATTACATGATTTAACCCATGTCAATCAATAGTGAAGTCTGATTTCAAGCTGTATCATCAGACAATTTTAGTGTGTTAATTGACATGGGTTAAAAACTCAGAACCAGAAATTACTAAACAATCACTAGAATAAGAAAAGAATGGCACTTTAATAATATACAACGACTTTGCCCACACACGTTAGCTTAACCACTCTGGATGTCAAATATTCTTACATCTTTGCATGCTTATGTTTCATAATTTTCCCACTTCATGAGAGATACCAATATCTGAGCCATTTCCAGTTAGAATATTATTTCATCCAGTTAAATGAATAAACTGGTGAAATGTATGTGTACACACATAATCTTTTACTTCAAACTACAGAACAAGTATAAAACATCCTGTGTTAAGTATTACCACTGGTCCTCACAGAATTATTATTAATTTTTGTAATCGTAATCACAGAATTAAGTTTACACCCCCTAAATGTCATAACACTGTAGAATGTTTTCACTGATAGGAGTGCTTACAATTAGTTTTAAAAATAGGTTATAATTTCATTGAAAATTTTCTTAGTTAGGCCACATTTGGAATATTGCCTTCACCTCAGAAGAACACTAAATTTTTGTAAAGGGTTAAGAGGAGCACTACTAGGATGGACAGACTGTCTTACTAGGATAGGTTAATATCTCTGAGCTTGTTTTCTATTGAAAACAGAAGAGTTAGAGGGAATGTGGTTGAGGTGTTTAAGATTGTCAATGATATCAATGGTGAAATCAATTAAATCATATTTAATGGTGAGAATGGTAAGACTAGGGCAGCTTTATTTTTCTAATAAGGTGATTAGCCTTTGAAAGAGGTTACCTTCAGAGGTGTGTGATGCAGTTAATTTAAGAGAAAGCTTGATAAATATTTGAATGATAAGAGCTGGGTTTCAGTTGTTTTAGTGTTTATATTAGTGGATAGGATGTTCTAGACGGACCAAAACACCCCTTCTTGTCCTTTAATGTTATGTTCTTATTTATCAAACTCTATCAGTTATATAGTAAAGGCTGTATGCTATAATAGACAGTTAGAGGTGTTTAAAAACTTACTTAGTGATTCACAATGAATAAAACTTCCATTAATTCTTTCAACCTGGGCTCGGTCCATAGGACCGACCTCGTAACCATTTTGTGCTTGTTATCAGTTATATTGTAAAGGCTGTACTGCTATAATAGACAGTTAGAGGTGTTTCAAAAACTTACTTAGTGATTCACAATGAATAAAACTTCCATTAATTCTTTCAACCCGGGCTCGGTCCATAGGACCGACCTCGTAACCATTTTGTGCTTGTTATAGTTTTCATACCATAACTTTTAAGTTAGTAAGCGAATGTTAACAAATTTCTCAGTTTATCGGTAAACATTACAATGCTTTCATATGAAAAATATCTAATTTTGTTTATTAAGTCTTAAGGTTTGTAAAGCAATGTTTCTCTCGTGCCTTTTTTTTTCTTTTCACATCTTGCCTATCTATCATGCAAAGTAATTTTCATCTTAACATTAAAAATACTTTTATGCATCGGAAAATTTTGAAATTTCACATGTGAAATCTTTATAATGTCCAGATAGTTATCAAGTGTTTCCTAAGAAAAAACTTTATATTTTATCTGTTATTTTCACTAATTAATCTCTGTGTGAGTTCGGTAGATTTGACCAATCTCACAACCACCATAAAAAATTAGGAAATAAACATAAATTATGCCTTTTTCATTCTAGAATGAATACAAATTATAACATAAAAACATAAATGTTTAGACGAAATAGCTTAAATCTCATAACACTATATATTTATAAATATTTATTATTTTTATTATATTGACCTTTCACCAGTGCCTGGCTAACAATACAGAAGTTACAACGACGTGGCTCACGTGCACTCATTTTACGATATCAAATAACATAAAGTTGACCTTTGGTCTGTACAAAGTAACCTGTCTTGGCTGTGTTTTAGTAGACTTGTATTTTGTAAAATACAGTCACATTTAATTATCATACATTATATATGTATATAG